GAGGAGGAGGAGGAGGAGGAGGAGGAGGAGGAGGAGGAGGAGGGGGAGGAGGCGGAGGAGGCGGAGGAGGAGGAGGAGGAGTACGACGATGAGGAGGACGACGAGGAGGAGCTGGAGCTGGAGGAAGACGAGGAGGATGAGGAGGAGGACGAGGAGGAGGAGGACGACGACGATCAGGATGGGGAGAAGGACGGGGAGGAATACGAGGAGTACGAGGACGACGTGTTGGCATGCACGCTATTCGGTCTGGCGGTGGGTCCCCAGCGACGAGCTGTCTCGTGCTGTATGTTGTGGCTGTGATGGCGCTGAGTTAAAACAAATGCCCCCCCCCCTGCCATACATGCTCGTTTGGGAGACCTTCTTGAGGCCCACCTGACGTTGCTGTTGGACTCTAGTTCGGGCTTGGTCCGACGCCAACTCGATCCAAGTATGATTCGCAGTCGGCACACGCTCGTTGCAGCATTGACGCCTGAGTCGGGCCAGTGGCTCCAGAAAAGGTCCCCGAAACAAGCATCCAACTTGCCTCTCCCCCGTCCTCCTGCCTCCTCGCCCCCGCCCCCCTTTCCCTCCTGCTCGTCCTCCCGACAGCCCTAACTCCCCCGCGGGGGCGCGAAGATACGTCGCGCTTCGCTCATCGCGGTCAGGGCCAGAGCGGCGATGCCCTAATTACTCCAAGTGGTTGGTGCCAGGGCGCGCGGGCGCGATGACAATCGCAGGGCGCGCTGCGCGAGTTCAGACGCTTTTTTTGTGAGCAGACAGCTAGCAGCCATACCCATACACCGCACTCACATCTATACCCCTGGGTGGGTGTATGTGCGGCCGTTTTTGCGCTGTCATTTGCGCGCATGTGCGCGGCATGTGCCAGTCATGTGCCAGGCCTGTGCGGCCCTTCTTGGATGGACTTCCTACTGTGCACGTCGTGCCTGGGCATGTGCGGGGGCATGTGCGCTGTATTTTGGTGTATCCATCATACGCACATGCACGCACAGTCCGACGCACATGCGCGCACATGCCTGCACATGCGGGAGGTGTTCGAGAATCGCAGATCTGTCATCGGCACATGCACGCACATGCCTGTGCAATCTCTCTTCGGGAGGCCGCGCGGGCCCGCACATGCACGCACATGCGGTGAAGCGCGCGGGCGCACATGCGTGCACATCCCAATGCACACGCACGCTCATGCCCTAGGAGCTGTCTGAGACCCCTGTGCCTCCAATGCCTCCTGGCCTTCGCAGAGCTAACCTGGGGCGTGCCAGGGCTTCCTGAAAGAGTTCGTTGTGCGTTTAGACTCGCCCGCTGCTGGCGGGGGCGGTTCTTCGCCCGGTTCGTGAGCTGGCGGTGGCGTGCCCTCCTAGTAAAACAGTCCCGCGCGTCTTTTCAGCTCGGCCGGAGAAGCAGGGGTGGGGGGGGGGAGGTGGAGGGGGGGGGAAGGAGGGGGGGGGCGTAGGAGGCGGACGCCCCCGGCTCGGCCGGCCCGCCCGCCTGTTCGGCTCGGCCAGAGGAGAAGGAGGAGGAGGAGGAGGAGGAGGAGGAGGAGGAGGAGGAGGAGGAGGTGAGAGTTGCGAGGATGTCTCAGGCGAAAGTGGTTTGACGGCCCGAGCTCAGGGAATCTCGGAATCGCTGGCCTGGCTCGGCCACTGGCGAGCTCGGCCTGTGCAAATACTGCGTGTACCTGTGCCGGGCATGTGCGGGACGTTCAAGAATGCCGGGGCCGGCGTTCGTCTCCGGGCGCCGGCGCGTTCGCGTCCGCGCGCAAGACATTTTCGCCCGAGATGCCCTGAGTTGAGGTGTTCAGGCCACTCGCCTGAGACATCCTCGCAACTCTGACCTCAATGATGCCCTGCTCCATAGTGTCTCGGCCTTTTTCGCCTGAGACCCTCGCAACTCTGGGTTCCGAGATGCCCTGAGCAGGTGGTCAGGCCACTCCTGCCTGAGACATCCTCGCAACTCTGGGTTCCGAGACGCCCTGGGCTGAGGTGGTCAGACCACTCTCGCCAGAGACATCCTCGCAACTCTGACCTCAGAGATCTCTTGCCCCATGGTGGTCAGGCCACTTTCGCCTGAGACATCCTCACAACTCAGACCTCGGAGGTGTCCTGCCCCATGGTGGTCTGGCCACCTTGACCAGCGACATCCTTGCCACTCTGGTTTCCCCCATGGTGGTCCGGCCACGCTTGCCTGAGACATCCTCGCAACTCTGGGTTGCGAAATGCCCCGAGCTCAGGTGGTCAGGCCACTATCGCCTGCGACATCTCTGCAGCATGTGCGGGCATGTGCGTCTATGCTTTCAGAGTTTTGCTTGACCGTGCATTCGACTGTGCGTCGGGCGAAGTGGCATGTGCGCGCATGTGCGGCAATGCTGTTGAGGCTTTTGTATATTTGCATAGGCATGTGCATGCGACTGTGCGGCATGTGCCTGCATGTGCGGCCCCTTCCGGACCACAATTTCAAAGTGAGCACTATAGAAGTGAGCGCTATAGAAGTGAGTCCGGTGTACGTCCCCCAGATTGTCTGGGGTGGAATTCCAGGGGGCTAGGCTCAGGGTGTGTGGGTGCTGTCCTTCTCCTCCTCCTCCTCCTCCTCCTCCTCCTCCTCCTCCTCCTCCTCCTCCCTCGTGCATTGCGGCATCGATTTGCATACAGCGTGCCCCTTGTTGCCAATCCGCCGGAGCAGTCAACCTCTGCCCAGCCGCCGACGCAAACATGTGCGGGTGTTGTCGGATGGGGGTCCCCGCTCGAACGGGAGCCTTTCTCGGGGTCCAAGCTGTCTCGCCCATGCTTCACTCGCCTTCGTCACCGTGCCCTTCCTCACTTTTCCTCCCCATAGGCTTGAGCGCGTGTTGTGTTTTCATCAGCCCTAGGAGACTGGTTTCTGAAGTTCAAAGATGTTTTTTTCCTGAGTTTGAAAATTTGTTTTGAGTTCGTACACCAGTTGTTGAATTCAAGTGACCCGTTTTTCAATGCAAACACCCGCGCATGCGCGCGCGCAGGACAGAAGAGTACCCGCCTCGTGAGGCCGTACAGGCGCGCAGCCTCGCAGTGCGCTTTGCACCCTGCTGGCCGGGCGCCTCGGGCTGCGCCCGCGGCATCGATCCTGCACGGTCAGCGGCGGCGAGCGAGCCGGAGCTCGGGCGCGACCGCGGCCGAGGCCTTGCGCAACGGCTACGTGCATTGGCACACTTTCCACTTCCTGCTCCACGATATCCTCCTCTCTGGCACGATCATCAGCGACACGTGCACGAGGACGCGGGGGGGGGATGGGTGGGTTGAGCAGCAGCAGCAGCAGCCTCCTCCCTCTTAACGAGGAGTAGGAGGAGCAAGAGGAGGAGGAGGAGGAGGAGGAGGAGGAGGAGGAGGAGGAGGAGGAGGAGGAGGAGGAGGAGATGACCTGACGAAGCCAGCCAAGACGGAAAAGGGCACGGTAGGTTCGCGCAGCCTCGACGCGGCGACGATGCCGGCGCGGTCGTTGAAGGTTGACCATTCTCGAGGGGTTCGTTCCCAACCGTGGGACCCACAGGCATTTGGCCCACGGGGCGGAATCCATGAGAAAGATGGTGTCGACAGTCTCTGTCGCCATGAAGGGACGGGGGCCTGTGGGAAACGGGTCTTGCACCGCGGGGCCTTCCCTAGGGCCGGGCCTTCATCCCGAGCTGTCTCCTAGACCATTGAGCATAGTACAACCCTGAACCTGAATAACATAATGAATTCGTGGTTCAACATAGGTCCTCGGGCTTTAAAGTTATCACTGATGATGTGGGTGGTGCCGTCTGAGACCTCTGCAACAAGAACTTATCCCTAATGTTTTTGGCCCTACTGACTCAGGCCCCCTCCCGAAGGATTCGGGGTACTTGAGTTGCTTATCGTTGGACGTGCCTGGGCATCGTGGAGGGCCCCAGGGGGCCGAAGAAGGCGAGCAGAATTCGGAACCCTTGCCTTCGCCCGACGAGCTCGCGCCCCACAAAACCCGTCGGACCCTCTCGGGCTGCCAACCGCGTGGCTACATCTACTGCCACTCGCTCAGGAGGCACGCCTGCGGGCAGCAGGATGTCGTTCGAGGGCCCGGGGGGGGCCGCTGCTGACGCGTGTCTTGCGCCGAGGGCTCCCGAGGACCCCGAAGTCCCTCCGCGGGGGGCGCGAGGGCAGGCGCGCGCTCGCGCGTCCGCGCGCCGGGGTCCGAGCGGCTGCCCTCTGCCGGGGGGAGGGCGGCGCGGGTGCGCGAAGGCCATCGCGCATCGCGGGGCGCCGCGCGCGGAGCTGGGCGACCCGGAGTCGGCCACGCGCAGAGGCGAGGGCGAGGGCGAGGGCGAGGGGGACAGGGCAGGGGGGACAGGGCAAGGGGGGATGGAGGGGGAAGGGGCAGGGCGAAGAGGCAGGAGGACGAGGGCGAGGACGAGGCAGGGGCGAGGATGGGAGGAGTGGGGGCACGGAGCCACGCGCGGAGGGGGGTTGGGGGGAGAGGGAGAGTTCTCAGAGGCACCCCTGCTTCTTGGAAGGCACGGACCTTCTAGATGTCGGGTCGGCGCCTTGTAAGAAGCGGCCTCCTTCTAAGAAGGCTTCCCCCCTGCCCGTACCCCCTTCTGCGCGCCGCCACTAGAGACCTGCGTTAGGTTGCAAATCATGCGTTAGGTTCAATCTTCGGAGTGCACTGTCGTCGACTGGACTCTGGCAATCGATGGGATGGCGCCGGTTTGGCTTCGGCCAGCGTCTATCAGCGTGGATTTAGCGTCGATGAGTCCCGACTCGCAAGAGCCTCCCAAGCGTTGGGCGTCACGTGATGGGGGGATCATAAATGGGGGGGTGGCGAGGATGGTCCGAAAAGGTACCCAAACGGTACCTAAACGAGCCCCCTGGGGCTCCGGAGGGGCCCGAAATGGGGCAGGAAAGGGGACCGTTTCTGACCCCCCCATCTATGGCTCCCCCATTAAGCCACGCCCAAAAGCGTTGCCGCAGAACCTGCGCCGGCGGAGAGCGCTCAAGGCCGCCGCTGCCCGCGCGGTGCCGGAAGCCGGGGTCCGCGCCGTCGCGGCAGCAGCGCCTGCGCTCTGCCGGAACCTCCGACGCCTCGACGTCTCCCGACCCGTTGGCCCTCCTCCTCCTCCTCCTCCTCCTCCCAATTCCCCCCCATCCCCCTCCTCCCCCTCCTCCTCCCCCCCCCCTCCCCCCCGGCCCCCCTTACCCTCCTCCACCTCCCCACTCCACCCCCTCCATCCCTCGGAAGAAAATAGGGAACACAAATGCCACGTTCATCTTATGGTGCCCCCCGCCAATGATCAAAGTTGGCGATGGGTTTGATGAGTTTCACTTCGACCGCAGTCTTCCCCGCGCGTGCCAGTTTTGAACTTTCCTCTACCGTATTTCAAACCCTGCCCCCGCGGGTCCAAACGACGCTGGGGTACGGGGCTGGCTGCATGAGGGTCTGAGGTGGCCCAGCACTGGTTCCAGCGAGCAGGAAGGGGGGCGAGGTCCGCGGTTCTGGGCTCGAGAAGGTCTTTTGTACCGGAGCCGTTCTCGGGCCACAGGACCGTCAGACACAGATCCGAAGTGATACATTGCACCAGATCTGACCCTGAGGGAGGCCTGGGGACCGATTTTGAGCGCATTTGCCTCGATCCCCTCCTCTTACCGCTTTTCTCGGGGACCAACCAGCTCAGACCCCCTTGCCGCCTCCAACGCGGGCACCCCCGCTGGGGCTCGCTTGGCAGCATGCATCCTGCGAATTTTGAACTGCACCCTGCGTTCCAGAAGTCCGACATGCGGGGAGAAAGTTTAACTTTCAATGCTTATTTCAGGGGCCGTTTCGATCCGATCGATCCGATTCCGTATCGGCCCCGGCCGGACGGATCCGATTGGATTCCGATGCTTTGGCGATCCATTTCGGCCCGATGTTTCTTGGGGCGCTGCTGCCACTGTGCAGCCTGGCGCAGTCGATCCGGTTTGATCTTGACTCAGACGCACATTCCGTTTCGATTCGATTCGATGTTGCACATTCCGATTCGATTCGATTCGATCAATGATGTGCGTCTGCGTTCCATCCCAAGCCATTTGTTGATTGCGTCGGGATCCGAGACTAGGAAAGGCAGGTTGTTCGCGACGGAGGATGGCCAGGTATAACGAGTTTGACACTAAAATGGGTTCGGTCAGAGACAGTGTCCGTGCACAGCCGACGCCCTCCTGGGCAGCGACGAGGAAGACCGCAAGAGGTCCTAACGCGGTTCATGACGACGGCGTCTCCGTCGACGGAGATGGCGGCATTGGCGGCGGATGCGGCGACGGCGGCAGTGTTTACAATAGTCACGAGTCCTGAAGAGCATCATGAAGGTGGCGGTGGCGCCAGTGGCGGCGGAGGTGTTGACGACGACGAGGACGAGGACGATGACGACGACGACGAAGACGACCACGGCCATTACCACGACGACGACTACGACCATGACCACGACGACGACGACGACGACCACGATCACGACCACGACCACGACCACGACCACAGCGACGACAATGACGACGACGACAGCGGGGACGGCCCCAGACATGCGGCACTCCAGTGTTCTCGATGCGCGGGCCCCCGGAGGCCTGGACCACTTCCCCAGGGCTGGCGTTCCATCCTCGGTCGTTTCCGTTGACGGTATCTTGGCCTCTTTGGAGGGCCCCCAGAGCCGGACAATCGGCACAAGCATTTCAGGAGGGAAAGAAACACACAGACACAATTAATCGTCGATTCCCCAGAAAATATAGGAAAATATGGGAAGTGGGGGGGAAGACAAAACACCCGAAAATATGAGAAAATATGTGGAATCTTTTTATTTGTGTGTATTCATTTGTGTGTCCTGGGGCCCCTTTAGCATTGGCCGTCCCGATCGTCTCGGAGCCTCGGATCTTTCAGGCGAAGGCGTCGTCGGCGGCGGCCGCGCCGACGACGGCGCCGTCGATCGCGGCGGCAGCGACCGGAGCCCGACGACCCATGCTGACCATGACGGCGACGACGACGACGACGACGACGACGACGACCACGACCACGACCACGACCACGACCACGACCACGACCACCACCACGACCACGACCACGACGACGACGACGACGACGACGAAAACGACGAGGACGACGACGACGGCGGGACGACGACGTCGGCGGCAACGGGGGCGGTGACGACGTCGGCGGCGGCCGCGCCCACAACGAGGGCTTCTCAAGCAGTGGCGAAGCCTTTTGGCTTACCAATAGGTCAGCCAGAGATTGTTCCAAGAGCCTTTGGTGGTTTGTGTTCTCAGGTCATTGCTGGATGAGAGTTTTTTGGTTGTCTGACTCTATGCTCCGAGAGCATTGCGATTGGCATCAAAACAGTTTGAGGTTTTAAGCTCATGCTGGAGTAGGCCTATGGGAATACCGGGACGGTCGGTCCTGCTAAGTTCGGGGGCGCGTAATGGGGGGGGGCGACCAATGAGGGGGCAGCGAGGGCTGCCGAAAAGGGATCCGCTAGGGCCCCATAGAGGAGCCCTTGCGGGCCCAGAAAGGGCCCTTCAGGGTTCGACAAGGGCACCTTTCTTCCCCCAGGCCCATCCCACGGAACACCCCGCTTGCCTCCAGGGTGAGTTGGGCTTATTGGGTTCTTGATGGTTCTGCTATGGAGCACGCGACGTTCCCACACCCAAGAGCACAGGACCTCCTGGGGTCTCCGGGTTGGGTCTCTGGCGGCAGGTCTCCTGTGGTCGGGCCCCCGCTGCATCGCCCCCCCCCCCCCACTGCTTCGCGCCCAGCTCGGCCTCCGACCGCGGCGACGGCGGCGGGCGCCCGCCCCTGCGAGCCACCTCGTGCTGAAGAGCGTGAGCGCCCTGCTCGCCAGAGCGCTGCTGCCCGTCGGCCGCGGGCGGCGCCGCGGCCGCCCCCCTGCCGCTCTGGGGGCCTGGCCGCCGCCGCCGCCCGCCGCCGCCTCGCCACGCGGCCGCAGCCGGCGGCGAGATGGGAGCCCTGCCCTCGCGCATCGGCGGGCTGACCCAGCAGGGGGTCCGGCGACGAGGGGGTGGTGCTTATCGTGGGCCGTGGACACGCCAGGGCCCTTTTTTTTCACCGCCTGTGGAGGTCCGCGAGGATCGATCCCCCAGGCGATGCCTATGGATGATCTCCCGCCTCGGCATCCTGAACAAAGCATGCCTGCGTGGGTTTGGGTCTGGCGCCTCTCGCTGCCGGCGGCAGGCCCAACGGGGGAGGGAAGTCAGAGAGGGGGCCCGGCCTCGGCAGGCTCGGAAGGCCTCAGGCCCTTAGTGGGCCCTGGAGACGCCAGGGCCGTTTTTGTTACCGGTTCCGTTTTGCCGTGTTTGTTGCCGGTCCCGACGCCGTTTCTGTTGCCGGTGCCGTCGCCGTTGTTTGACCGGTTCCGGCTCCGGTTCCAATCCTGGAGTTTTTTTTTTGCCGTTTCTGGTCGCCGTTTTTTTGCCGTTTCCATTTTCAAGGGACATTTTTTTGGAAACGGTGAAAAAGCGGCCTTGCGGTTTCCGGGGCCCACAGGGGTGGTGCGATGGGACTGTGGGGTTGCAAGACATTTGGGGCGTGCAGAATACGATCCGCGGCGCGCATGGACTGCGGGGCTTTCGCGTGCAGTGCGCTACTTGCAATACGAGGCAGGACAGTTCTCCGGCGCAATACAGTTGCAATACAATTGCCCCAAGCCTATCGCACCGCCCCCTTTCAGCTGGACCCCCGTTTGGGTCAACCAAAGATCAACGACTCGGGCAACTCGATGGGCGGCGGGGGTCAGGGTTCGGCATCTCGGCGGCGAGCGAGGGGGGTAAAGGCGAAAGGGGGGAGGCCTTCTCAGAGGGCGGCGGGACTGCTCAGGCTGAGAAGTTCTGTTGCGTATTCGGGGAAGGCTTGGAAAACGTTGTCAGAAGGCCAGGGGACTTCCGAGCCTCCTGAAAAGGCCCGCCCTGTCTCGTTTCCCCCTGGGCTGGCCGCCGAGACTTCCTCGAGCGCGCGGCGAAACCCGAGCCCTGCCCCCGCTTCCTCCCATCGGTGCAGGAGAGTGGATGGTCGGTGGGGGTGGGGTTCGGATGTCGCCACCTTCGGAGGTGGATAGACCTCCTACCCTGACACGTCGATTAGTGAATTGGCCGTTTTCGGTTCGCGAGAGGGCGTCGCGGCCGTCGGTTTTGCGGGTCCGGGTCCGTCGGTTTCGGTCCCTGGCCGTTTTCTTTAAGGGGAGGTTTGCTGAAGGGAGGTTTGTCCACCGCCGACACCTAATCTCTCTGCGGCGCCGCCGTCGCTCAGAGGAGGACAGGGTACACCCAGAGCTCGGAGGTTCCGCACAAACTGCAGCGGCCGTTTTCGAGCGATGTTCAGCCTCTGGGGGGCTTCAACAGGCAGCAGGACACCGTCAAGCACTTCTTCAGGACGACACGCATCGAACAATCAGGAGCGCCAGATGTCTGGGCAGATACCGTTGCTCGTCCTGCAGGGCCCTCGTCGCCACGGCTGGGTTTTCTTCGAAATCCTGCCCCCACCAGCCCATCCAGAAAGGATGCACAGGCGCTCTGATCAGGAATGTGGAGGAGCATGCAGCGCAACAAAGGTCTGGGGAAGCCGTCACTCCCCAAGAGGGGGAGGATCGGAGAGGATCGGAGGAGGAGCAGGGGGGAGGAGTGAGGAGGGACGAGGGAGAGATAGGCGGATGAGGGAGAGGCGGGGGAGTTGGAGGGCGAGCAGAAAGCCAGAGGTGGTGAATGCTTCTCAGAGTCTATTGGGATGTCTCTCGAGAGCTTCTTGGAGTCCTCTTGGTGCGCCTTGGGGGTCCCTTGGCCGCCCCAGGGTCATCTTGGAGCGTCTTTGGCGCCGCGGGGAAGCCTTTGGGGGCCTTTGAGGGGGGGTATTGGGAGCCTCTTGGGGACCTCTCGGGGGCCTCTTGGGGTCTCTTGGGCATCTTTTGGGGCACTCTGGGGAGCCTTGAGAGCCGGGCCATCTTGGGGGAGATCGATCGACCCTCTTGGAACGCTCCAGGGCCGCCTCGGGACCCTCGCGGGCTGCTCCTGGAGCTCTGTTGGGCCTTCTTGGAGCCATCCCGAGGCGCCGGAGGACCGTCGACAGCGACCAGGCGAGAAGGCGAGCAAAGAGCGATTTCCAAAGGTGGGTGGAGGCTGTGGGCTTTGGTTGGTAGCCTCCTCGGGGGGCGCTCCGCGGCCGCTGGGAGTCGCCTCGGGGCGGTCCTGTGGCCCGTGGGAGCCTGTTGGCAGCCATCTCGGAAGTCGTCTTTGGCCCCCGGGGTGCCCTCTTGGAGCCATCTCGGGCGTTCCAGTCGGTCGCGAGACGGGATGCCAGCAATTAAAAGCGGAATCTTAAAACCAAGCTATATTCTTATCCGCCATTGTTCCCCAGTCAGTGCCTGCACTGAAGGGGTCCTAGCGGAAGTTGAAAGATTTGGCGAAAGTTTCCCGCCGATTTTGGTCGCACGCTGGGTTCCCCGGTTCCCGGTTCCGGGTTCACAGGTTCTGGGCCGATTTCGGCGGGTTTCGGGTTCCTGGGTTCCCGGTCGATCTCCTGATCGATCTCTTTATCGATCCCACGATTCATTATCGATCTCATGATCGATCTCACTATTCACGTCAATCGATCTCACCCACGATCTCATCAAACCATCCGCTGATTGGATTTTTCTCTGGTGTCATTGTTATTGTGTTTGCAGTTTTTCCCTCATCAGTAACTTGCACTGAAGGGGTCCTAGCGGAAGTTGAAAGATTTTGCGAAAGTTTCCCGCCGATTCTGGTAGCAGGCTGGGTTCTCGGGTTCCCAGTTCCGGGTTCCCAGGTTCCCGGTTATTGGTTCCGGGCCGATTTCGGTTGGTTCTGGGTTCCCAGGCTCTCGGGTTCCCGGTCGATCTCCTCAGCGAAACCATCCACTGTTTGGGTTTTTTTCTGGTGCAATAGAAAGTTTACCCCAGTCAGGTCCAAGGGAATTTAGGAGGCGGCGGGGGGAGGCGTACACCCTTCCTTGAAGGGGAAAGCAGGGGGGGGAAGAGGAAACGCCCTAAACCACCTACGCCCTTCAGGCGATCGCAAACATGGATAAAGCGGGCGTGGATTGGCGACGGGTCCCGTTTCCAGAGGAAGCCGCGGATCTCCGCCGCCGAAGGATGCGGCACCGGCCGTATTTTGGGGAGGGCACCACCCCCGATCCATAGATTCGGCGACCGCTCGCTAATCCATGTTTGCGCGCCCCCGAGCCCTGAAGGGCTGGTGGAATTCTGTTCAGGGCGCGCCCCTCGAGAAGTTCAGGACTCCGCGGTACCAGTGCGTTTTATCCTCTTCGCCCTCGCCGTCGTCGTGGCATTCGCCGCCGTCGCCGTCGACGCTGTCGCCGCAGACTGCCTTTGCGGCGTCAGCTTCGGCTTCGTCGTTGTCGACGTCGCCAGTGTCCTCGAGGCTCGAGATGCTGTCTCGCCATTTCGGCATCTGGGGGCCCGCTTGGGACCCCGTTCGCGCAGGATGAAGACCAAGGGGTGGCGGGGCCAGGGGCAGATTCTTCATCGGATCTCGAAATCCGATGTCGTCGTCGTCGGCGCTGGCGTCGTCGTCGTCTTCGTGCTCGTGTGGGCCCTCGTCGTGAGCTCTCAGGGTTGAGCGCGTGTGCCAGGGCGCGAGAAGACGGGAGGCAGGCGCCCCCCCCCGGCGGAGGGTCGTGCAGCCCTGTCGCGCCTCGCTCGAGGAGCACCCCAGGAGTCGGGGAAGGCGTTCCCCGCACGTGACTGAGTGTGCTCCGTGGGGGGCCTGGACCCAATCAACTTAATCCGCCTGGCTTTTTCATGTTTTTACCTACTTCTTCCGACCGACGTGTATTCGTTTTTGTTCGGTGCCGGGGCCGCTCGGCCGCACAGCCGCGGGCCCGTGGACACGTCGTTCTGCCACGCGCCCACAGGTCACGGCGGCCGCCCGTGTAGGTCGCGGCCGTGCGCTCTTGAAGCCGCCGTGCTGCAGGGGCCGTGTGGAGGGGCGTTTTGAGCCGCGCGCCCGCCGGCCGCGGCGTCGTGGGAAGCCTCTGCCCTCCGCGCGGGCTTTCAGAGCCCCGAATCATCAGGGGTAACTCGGGTCAGGGCTAACTCGGATTCCTTTTTCGGGAATCTAAGCCCGCGTTACCCCGGACCCGACTTACCCCGCATAACTCGGGCGCCCAAGGCTTCTCAGAGGCATCGCCGCAGAGGGTCTCGCGGCCGCGGCCAGGCTTCGGGGCCGCCTCCAACGAGAGCCCCAGGGGCACAGGAGGGGGGCGGGCCCGCAGACCGTCGAGCGTTGCAGGCTTGCTCAGGACGGCTGCGGGCGGCCCTGGGGCGCGAGCTTTGTTTTGAGAAGGAGTAACTCAGGAGGGGAAAGGCGGCGCGCCCGGTGGGGAAGTGACAAGGAGAAGGCCTTCCCAGAAGGCAGCGGGACTGCTCAAAAACCTTCCAGCCTTCTGAGAGGTTTTGTGCGTCTGCGGTGAAGGACCAGATGTCTTCTCAGAAGGCTGGGGGACTCCCGAGCCTTCTGAGAAGGCCCGCCCCTTCTCGTTTCCCCCCCTCAGTTCCCCGCAGCCGCTCCCCTCCACACCGTAGAGGTCCCCTCCCCGGCGACCGAGCTGGCCCCGCAGAGCCCGCCTCGATGGTCCGAGGGGAGCACAGAGCTCGTCCCGCAGCGCCGGGAGAGGTAGCTCAGAGGCAGGCCCTTCTCGTGTCCTCCTCCTCCTCCTCCTCCTGCTCCTCCTCCTCCTCCTCATCCTCATCCTCATCCTCATCCTCATCCTCCTCATCCTCCTCCCCCTCCTCCCCCCCCCCTCCTCCCCCCCCTCCTCCTCCTCCTCCTCCTCCTCCTCCTCCTCCTCCTCCTCCTCCTCCTCCTCGGGTTCAGGGCGGTCCATCGAGCGGCCCGTCCGATGGGCACAGGTGTGGCTCACGTGGGCGGTTTGTGCCCCCGTGGCTGGAGGACGCCTTCCGAGGCTATCCCAAAACGGCCTGATGAATTCCGAGGCGGGGGTCTGTCTAGGACCTGGGCTTGGAGGGGGTCCATCTCTGTGGGTATATCAGCAGGCGGTGGCTACGGGTATGCTCAGGCCTTGCAGGGGAAGGGGGGTTGGCGAAATGTAGCCACATCCACCGTCAGGGGAAACACCCTCGGTGCCCGCCAGCGCTCCCCTGCTGACAGCCTGCCAGCCCCTTCGAGCCCCCCTTCCTTTCGGATGCAACTCCGGAGGTAAGACTCAGCATCGGCGCTGGTAGATCCGTGGCCGACCAGCACAATATGATAATCATTGCTTGATCTTGCCGAGGTGGGCTCAATCCAAGGCTCAATCCGACCCGCTCTGGCTCAATTGCCCATGAGCCGGTGCCTTCTTAGAATAGAGTGGAGGGGTTCTGAACAGCCTTCTTAGAAGCTCCTGGGTCCTTCCAAGAAGGCCCTTCTTCTCAGAGGCCCCCTGCCTTCATGGAAGGGCGCCCCCGCAAACGTATCCCTGACTCTAGGCCTCCCTGATGTGGTCCGAGTAGATGGGGTCGGAGGATTGTGCCGCATCGCCGATGCATCGGCGATGCGGCTCGATGTGGAGCCCGATGTTCTTCACGCAGACGGCTCCGATGGCACCACCGATGTCGCCGATGCATCGGCGATGCATCGCCGATGTAGCGGCGATGCGGCGCGATCCTCCGACCCCATCTGCTCGGATCCCATCTGGGAGGCCTCTACTGACCCAGTGCGATTCGGAATCCCGGCCGCTTGCAGGTGGATGGCGATCAAGAAATTGGAGGCAAGGGCTGTGGGTTACGGCATGCTCGCCCCGGACGTGCTGCAGATTTCGATCCTCCAGGCCACAGGAGAATGAAGAAAAGGAGGAGGAGGAAGAGGAGGAAGATACCAACAGGAGGAGGAACAGGAGGAGGAGCAGGGGGAGGAATTCAACAAGAGGAGGAAGATGAGGATGAGGAAAAGGAGGAGGAGGAGGAGGAGGAGGATACCAAGAACTCGGGCGGATGTTCAATTTCAGTGCGAGCGTTTTCCTAATTATCAGTTCTGCCACATGGGGTCTTTTTGTCGGGCCCTGGGACCATCAAAGCATGTCCCTGCGGGACTGAAGCTGGCCCGGGGGAAAGAGCTGACACTTTCGAGGCCCGCGTGTGACGATATTCGCTTCGTTGAATGCTCAGGGGGCAGGAGAAGGATGAGGAGGAGGAGAGCCTTCCTCCAAAATCCTTCATGTGAGGACTATACTCTCCTCCTTCCCCTGACCATGTCCAGCCGCGGCGTCGCTTCTCACGGGTCTTCGGGCCGGGGGGGGGTCATTAACACAAAAAATCCCACCCCCACGGGTACCGATTTTAGGCCCAGGGGTCAGGGGGAGGCCTGGCGGCCAACGTGGCACCCAGCTAGCCTGAGACACCACCAGGGCGGCCCGATTGGACACTCCAGCAGAACCCAGAGCGCCAAGGGACCGCGGACACGCTTCAAAGACGGCCCAAGAGATTATCAAGGTGGGCCCAGGGGGCCCAGAAATGACCCTTGAGAGGCGACTGAGGGGAATCCTTGATTCTCCCATTGATTGTTGAGTGATTTTCGTATCTTCGCCTTCTCGGCCGCGGGAGCAAAGGCTTCAAGATGGCTCCAAGAGAGGCCCTGGAGGGCCCACGAGCCGCTCTAGACGGCCCAGAAGGGCTTCTACGACGCCCCATGAGGGCCTCTCAGGAGTCAAGGCGGGCTCCAGACAGCCCAAGACGGGCCCACGGCGGCTCTCAGGGACGCGGGGGCCGTCTCAGGGGACCCCAACTCGCCACAAGAGGCTTTCAAGATACCCCCATGCCAAGCCCCAAGGGACCTCCAAGACGGCCCCAAGGGGCCCCACAGACACCCAAGGCGGCCCCATCCGGCCTGCGTCCAGAATGCTCCAGGACGGGGCCCAACGACGGCTGGACGTGGCCCGGAAGCTCCTCACACAGTCCCCGAAAAGCTACAGGAGTAGGAGAAAGAAGAGGAGAAGGAGAAGGAGGAGGAAAAGGGGAGCAGGAGGAGGAGGAGGACGAGGAGGAGAAGCAGGAGGAGGAGGCGGAGGAGGAGGAGGAGGAGGAGGTACTGGATCAGGAGGAGGAGGAGGATGATCAGGAGCAGGAGCAGAAGTATGAGCAGTAGCAGGCGCAGGAGCAGGAACAGTGGAAGCAGCAGGAGCAGCAGGAGGAGGACCAGGACCAGGACCAGGACCAGGAGGAGCAGGAGGAGCAGGAGGAACAGGGGGAGCAGGAGGAGCAGCAGGAGCAGCAGGAGCAGGAGCAGGAGTAGGAGGAAGAGGAGGAGGAGGAGGAGGAGGAGACCAAGGAGACGGAGGCGACGGAGGAGACGGAGGAGGAGGAGCAGGAGGAGGAGCAGGGAGGAGGAGCAGGGAGGAGGGCGGAGGAGGAGAAGGAGGAGGAGGAGGAGGAGGAGGAGGAGGAGGGGAGGAGGAAGAGAGGAGGCGGAGGAGGAGGAGGAGGAGGAGGAGGAGGAGGAGGAGGAGGAGGAGGAGGAGGAGAGGAGGAGGAGGGGAGGGGGAGGGGGAGGAGGTGGAGGGAGGGGGGGAGGGAGGGAGGGAGAGAGGGAGGGAGGAGGGAGGAGGGAGGGGGAGCAGGGGAGGAGGAGCAGGAAGGAACGGGGAGGGAGGAGGGAGGCGAGGAGGGGGAGGAGGGAGGGGAGGAGGGGGGTGCGTTGGCGAGGGCTTCGCGCGCGCGCACTCCGTTGAGGAGGGAGGAGGGAGGAGAGAGGGGAGGAGGGAGGAAGGAGGCGGGAGGAGGGAGGAGGGAGGAAGGAGGAGAGAGGAGGAGGCGGGGCGGAGGAGGAGGAGGAGGAGGAGGAGGAGGAAGAGGAGGAGGAGGAGGAGGAGGAGGAGGAGGAGAGAGAGGAGGAGGAGGAGGAGGCGGAGGAGGCGGAGGAGGAGGAGGAGGAGGAGGAGGAGACGGAGGAGACGGAGGAGAGGAGACAGAGGAGACCCAGGAGACGGAGGAGACTGGAGGAGGGAGGAGGAGGAGGAGGGGGAGAGGAGGAGGAGGAGGAGGAGGAGGAAGGAGGGCGGAGGAGGAGGAGGAGGAGGAGGAGGAGGAGGAGGAGACGGAGGAGGAGGAGGAGGCAGCAGCAGAAGTTTCCCACTTGAGCGCGCCTGGTGCGCACGGCACGCGCGGCGCGTGCTCGCAGTGTACGCTCCGTCGCTTGGCCCCTCGAGCGACGGCCTCCTCCTCGGTTGTATCGTCGAGAATCGGCGACTACAAAGGCTATGGTTACGCCAGGGTGTGGTTTGCGATCGGCACTGTTGGGGCCGGAGGGGTGCGACACTGTCCTCTTCGGGCCTCCTGGGGGCGTGGCGGAGAGTTCTATCGAGGTCCCCGCCCGGCCCCCCAGTGTGACCCCCAGGGTGCCAGTTGCAAACCACACCTTTCGAAAGCCACGCCCTTCGGAGTCGCCAAGGGAAGGCTGGCTCCTCCTCATCCTCCTCCATTTCCTCCTCCTCCTCCTCCTCCTCCCACCTCCTCCTTCTCCTCCTCCTCCTCCTCCGCCTTCTCGCTGTGTGTCCGCAGCGCCACCTGAGCGACGCAAAAGATAAGGTCGTCTGCGCCGACAATGGCGCGTAAGCTGCCGGCGTAAGGCCGCGCGCAAGCGCCCTCGTCTCCACTGGCGTGCCGCGGTGGTAGCCCGCGTAAGCCGCGGCGCAAGGTCGCCATGCCATCTCGCGTAAGACCCGTTGTTGATCGTCGCGCACTTGGTGCAGACGATGTTCGCTGTGTAGCTGGCATGCTTGCAGCATGTAGCGCTTCGAGTGCGTTGCCTGCGCGTTGCGCATGGCGGACGTAGCGTGTGCGCGCAGTGCGCTTGGTGGCCGTGGCACGTCGCGTGTCGGCCACTTCCCACTTGCACGGTCGGGCGGCGTGTGCCTTTCTCTACCCGACCTCCATTCGAGAAAGGTGCGGGCAATTCGCTCCAAGCTCCGTCAGCTGCCTCCCCGTCCTGCCTGCAAGTGCGGGGGGGGGGTCGCGCGACTGGCGGGGTTGGCTGGTTGCCCCGCCTCAGGCCCGCTTCTGCTCTCGCTGGTCTGGCCGCCCAGTGGCCTCACTCACTCGGGCTTCAAAGCTTGCGGCTCTTCTTGGAGGCCCACGGATTACCGTGTTGCCAGGGCTTGTGGTGGCGATGGTGGCCCAGAGTCTGAGTTAGTAGCACGTCCGCGCAAGGTGCCTAGATTGTCTTGGTCGGTTTCCTTTCGTCTCCTCTCGAATGTCTCCACTCCGGCGCCTAGCTGCGGAAGCTAGTACTGGCGGCGGCGTCAGGCCACATCGTTTGGTGTTTTCCGTGTTCCCGCCTTTGGGGTTTTGCGTGGTACGCGGGGCATTGGGTCTTGCTTGTCGAATGATGTGTTCGTTCGTTCGTTGGGTTCCGTCGAGTTCCCCAATCTCTTCGAATTCTTGGCACTGCTCACGTTGCATTGCGTTGCAGCGTGGCTCTTGATTGTTAATCGCTTCGCAGTGTGTTGCGTTGTGCCTCTGGTGACTTGCATTGGTTTGTGCTACTTTGCATTGGTCTGCTTTGTATTACTTTGCGTTGCTTCGATGCCATTTGCATTGCGTACTACATAGTTGCTGGTTGTGAGCCGGATATGCCATCATGTTTGTGCGTATAATGATTGGTTACGTGGTGTTGTCGTTTTGCATCGCGTGGTGGTTTGTGTCGCGTTGCGGTTAACTGCACTGCTTTTCCATTGCATTTGTTTCGGCCACATCGCTTCAAAGTGCAATGCGCTTGAGCTGCGTTGCTTTTCTTGCATTGCGGTGCACTTACGTTGCTTGGCATGGGGCGAACCCGTGCTGTCCGGTATATGTTCGGGCAGTCTCTTCAAGTCTTGGTCAATTTTTGCGGGGGGGGGGGGGGGGCGTGTGTGCACATATGCATATGTATATATGTCGGATACGAGCGATATGTGTGTATTATATGTGCACATTGATTACGAGGGGTATGTTTTAAGATCTATCTATCTATCTCTCTCTCTATATATATATATGTATATACACATAACGGCGCACCGGGCTCGGGGGCCGAGGGCCAGAACCTCGACCACAAATGTGGGGACCGGGGCCCGGGCCCGCCTCTGGGAGGCTTAAAATCGCCCTGGGGAGCCCTCAGACAGCAATCCCGGCGGCCACAGGCGGTCTCGAGACACCCCCAAGACGCCGTCCAGGGGTCTCTGGCGACGCACGATGCGTTTTCAACTGTTCCGGAGGCCCCCAAGACGCCCCAAGAGGCCTTTAAGATGCCGCCCAAAAGCGCCCCGAGAGGGCAAATCATTGATTTTCATTGGTTTGTTTTCAATGTTTTTTGCGTTCTCGCTGTTTCGTGTGTCCGGCGCTAAAGCACCGCCCAAGAGGCCCCCAAAACCGCTCCAAGACGGCCCAAGAGGCCCCCAAGAGGCCCCCAAGACAGCCCCAGAGAACCCCGAGACGGCCCCAGAGCCGCCCAAGACGGCGCAAGAGGATCCCAAGAAGGCTCCGAGAGGCCCAAAGACGGCACCCAAAAGGCTTCAAAATTCTTTCTAACAGGCCCCCGAAGACATGCTAAGAAGGTCCCATGACGACTTCAAGAAGCAGTCCAGGATGCTCCGAGGAGGCCCCCAGAAGCTAGCTAGAACCTGAGCGCGCGCGAAGCGCGCGCGATGGTTCTAGTATGTATGTGTGTGCGTACCTATATGCCAGTGTATGCTTGTTGATGATTAATCATAGTTGTATATATATATATATGTACGCGTGTAGAGAATGTACGTGTGCATATAGATACAAGTTAAAGCCCCCCATAGGACTCTGCCCACTCCGCTACCATTTCCGGCAAATCCCCTGTACCACCCTCCCGGGCGTCCAAGAGAGCTTACGGAGAGCGTGAACATGGCCCAGGTGGTTTCAAGGTTTTCCAAGCGGGCCCCCCGACGGCTCTGGAGGCCTCCGAGAGCATGCAAGATTTCTCCATGAGGTTTCCAAGAGTCCCCCAAGAGCTTTGGGGAAGACCTCGAGATGCCAAAATCATTGACAAAACTATGGGACATTACGATTTGGTTCTCGCATTTCCGACTTCGACACGCTTCTGAGGTATGCGCATGCATCCAACTTGAAAACAACAAATCCTTGTTTATGAAAGAATTCGCACATCACCCTCCGTTCCCTCCTGCCCCAGGCGTTGACGTGCCCCAGAGTGCGTTTCAGTGTCCTCCATCCCTCGCCCCTGCTCGCTCTGTTTTTTTTGTTTTTTGTTTTTTTTTTTTCTCTCTCTCTCTCTCTCTTTCTCTCTCTCTCCCTCTCTCCCTCTCTCTCTCTCTCCTGCTCTTGGTTCTCCTCCGTCTCCCATTTCCACATCCTTCTGCTTCCTCTCCGCCTCCCTCCTCCCCGCTGCGTCACTTTCCCTCCCCCCCCTTCCTCGTCTCTCCTTCACGCCTTCCTCTCTCCGCCTTCCTCATGTGTTTCCGCCTCTCCCCTCCCCCATCCTCATCCCTCCTCTGCTCCTTCCTCCCTTCGCCGCACCGGGGGACGTGTCGAGATAAGAAGCGGCGGCGCCGCGAAATCTGGGGAGGCATCTGGCCCTGGCTCCGAGATCCCCCCCCTTCCAGTCGGACCCAGGCCAGACAGGCCTCGGACAAGAATGGCGAACACTCATGCCACATTTATCCGTCAACGCCTCCCCCTCCCCCCAATGTTCAAAGTTGGCGGTTGGTCTGATGAGTTGCACCTCGACCGCAGTCTCCCCCGCGCCTGCCGTATTCCCACAGGCCCTTGAGCCTCGAGCCTCGATTTGCTTCATGAGAGCCTCCGACGTTCGGATGTAGTTCTTGGGAGATCAAATTCTGAGTTTGCCCTGGTCCGAAGTCCGGCTTAATCCAGCTTGATCCCGCTAAATACCGCTCAACTCCGCTTTCTTCGGTTTCATCCAGGTTAGTCTGCGGCCCAATCCAGCGTAACAGCCCAATCCAATGGGACGTAAATTGTCCTTAGGCGTTCCGACGAAGACCTCCAAGGAGTTCTTACAGAGGGTTCCAAACTTGCTGGTTGTGCGGACGTCGTCTGGAGTGCGTCGCATCTGGTCGACCAGTTGACGAGATGTAGACGACACCGGGAAAAAAGGGTGAATGGCGTTGGCCGGAATCTGGGCGGAAGCCCGTCGACGCCACGTTGTTGTTCTAGGGCCGCGGAGGTCCACAGGGGGCATCCCCTGGAGGGGCCTGCACGGTCGAGCGTCCGGCCCTCCTCGCCCCGGAGGTGCTCGGCCGGCTCTGCCGAGTGTGCCCCGGCGCCTGCGACAGCTTCTGGCCGGTGGCGTCGTACTGCACGGACAACTTCCACATGAGCGCCCCGCAGGCGAGAAGCCGGGAGCGCCACCAGCCTCGAATTTGTCCCTATCCCTAAGGTTGACACGCCAAAATCGGGCCGGGCGAAAGGGGGGGATTGGGAAAGGGGGGGTTACGAAATTTGCTGCATGCAGCTGGTTTCGGCCTCACCGAGGGCCGCATTCCTCGATACATAGCCGCCTCCGGCGCCGGGAGGCGCCGGGAAAATCAGCTACGTGAGCTGATTCTCAAACCCCCCCTTTGCTATCCCCCCCTTTCGCCCGACCCGACAAAAGGAGATGGCAATCTGAGGGAGGCACCCTCAGAAAACTGAGGGCATCCCTGAGATCGCCATCGTGATGAGGCGGTGCCCAGCATAGGGACAGGGCTATGCTCCAGGCTGGTAAGAGAGCGCGGGGGATCGGGCGACCTTGTATTTTTGCAGTCGTCCTCAACCGTTGACAGTCGAGAGACGCTGAGCTGAGGACCGTTTCGGGCTCGGGAGGGCTCGGGTGTTCGGCCCGTGCCCCAGATGCATCCCGCGGATCCTGTTCGTGTCTTAGGCCCGCCGTGGCCACAAAAGCTGGTTCGCTCCTAGGTCTGCGTTTCTTACAGTAGCACGATGACTGCAACTGCAATCGTTGTATGTATACATACACGAAGCATATCTCTATTTAATGGCCGTCGACCCAGTTCAATCTCCTCCCGAGATTGCGCTGAAAAAATCCACCTGAGAAAAAAGAGCGCGTGTTTTCATTCTCTCGCGACAGCGGGCGTGACGGGTGGGGGGTGAGGGGGGGGCAGTGACGGGGGCGGTCACGTTACGAGTCGCCCTGGCGCCGTCTGTGAAGGTTTCGGAATGGCTCATTCCCAGATGTGGCGCGGCGTGAGTGGGAGGGGGCGGGCGGTGCTGGTCACGGGCGTGATCGCGAATAACACGACAACGGGTTCTAACCCGGACAAGAATGTGATCGAGAGGGGGTTGGTTGCGTCATGGGGTGGGGCGTGATGAATGGGTGGGCGAAGAAACGCGCATCTCTCGTGCACCGCACGTGCCCTAAAGGGGCACGACAGGTGCACATCTCCTCGTTGCCCCCACTCACGGCAGGTTGGCATCGTGTCGACCGGCGGCGACCCTGCCGTGGGCATTTAGCGTTGAACGCCGCTGGCGACCCAGAATCGGTCGATGGTCAACGATCTGACGATTCGGGCACAGCCGACCGTCCAAGGTTGAACGACCCCCGCGGTTCAGTATCGTTTAACGGACCACCATCCCCATACCCATCCCCATCCAGCCCCCCGCCAAATTACCACCCCAGTTGGGGATATCTACCCTTCGAAGCCCGGAGGGAACGACCCACATCCCCGTCTAGGGGGGCAAATCGGCCAGCGGGGCCCAGGCCACGCCGCTGGGGATGGGGATCGGGCAAACGATACTCAACGATCCCCGCGGTGGCGGGAGCCGAAGCCGGGGCCCGGCACGGCACGAACCTGCCGTGTCGCCCCCCCCCTTGTGCGGGCCTGATGTCCCCACGGCGTGCGGCGGGCCGGACGCCTGAGCGTCCCGTGGTAGACGGCGACGCACGGCATGTGTGGGGCTCGGCGGCGAGCCCAGGGGAGATCGCAGTCAAGGGTTAAGTGCGGCCTGTCCTTCTACAGGAGGAGCATTCCAAAATTGCGAGAAAAAAAAGTCTGGGGACGATTTGGTTTAACTATTTTTGGCTGGGGACGATTTGGTTCAACTATTCTTGGCTATTTTTGAGTATGTTGGGTGTACGTTTAATTTTTCGTCCAAAACGCGCCTGTAGGGGGACATGCCAGACCTGATAGTAGTCAAGGGGCTCGGCGGCGAGCCCAGGGGAGATAGTAATAAGGGGAGGAAATGTAGAAGCCAGGCGAAGAAGAACAAACACCGCACAAGCATAAACTTGTGGCGCTCCGCGCGGATTTCTTGGCTCCGCGCCTGGGCCCCCCCCGGGCGCCGCCCCTCCGGGGTGGGCCCAGCGCAGATCCAAGAAATCCGCGCGGAGCGCCAAAAGTTTATTCTTACGTGGTTGTTCTGCTTCTACTCGGGTATAGCCAGGACCCCAGGTAAGGGGACCCGGTTAGTGGTAGGGCTCTGGAGCCCCTAAATTTTCCAGAATCACTGGACCAGGTCTGCCGTAGCTGGTGTTTTTCGGGTGACGGCAGTTCCGGTTAGTGGAACGGGCGGGGGGGGGGCGGCCCCCAGTACACATCATTAAACGAGGTCCCACTAAACCCAGTTCTGCCAACGCTCGATCTAATCCAGGCGAAGGCTGGCAAACCTGTGGTTGCTAAAACAGAGCTCCCCGAAATAGTTGTTTTTCTTCAGGGAAGCAGCCCGTTCATGATTTAGCGCGCTGAGTTTTATTTTGGAATCTGTGTTTTTCTTCCGGTAAGACCGTTTTAGCAGCCACGGATTTACCAGCTCTCGCCCAGCTTCCGAGAAAAACAACCCGGACCCGAATGCTGGCGTTTATTAAACGGCCTTCGCGTTGACTAAACAGTCTTGCCTTTTTCGATTCCATCCTGGGTGCGTTTACCAAACGACTTCGCGTGCCGGGGTGATTGTTATGAGAGTAGGTTTTCTGCTCTCTATTCTAAGAATTCCTCTCGGGGAACAGGCGGTGACAGAAGCATGAACTCTCGGGGGTCCGCGCGGACTGCTTGGACCTGCGCTGGACCCCCTCGGCGCGTTCCGCGCGCAAGGGGGTGGGGTCAAGCGCCGAACCAAGAAATCTGCACGGGTCGTCGCAAGGCATGTTTATGCAGTTGTTTCTTCTTCTGCCGAAGACAGAGATCGGGGGTGGACAGACCTCCTACCCGGACACGTCGATTAGCGAATTGATTGTTTTCGGTTCGCGAGAGGGCGTCGCGGCCGTCACTTCTGCGGGTCCAGGTCCGTCGGTTTCGGTCCTATGGGCCGTTTTCAGTAAAGGGTGGGGTGCGCTGCAGGGAGGCTTGCCCACCGCCGCAGAGAATCACTTGGCATCGCTCGGACGTGTGCATTTTTCCTTCGGCGAGGGATCATTTGGCGAAAAAGCCACGCACGACACCGAAAAACCACAGAGAATGGACGTCCGAGCGATGGCGAGAGCAGGTCTCTCAGACGGCCCCGGGGGGCTTCTGAGCAGCGAGGGGCCCCGCCGCTCGCCGAGGAGGGCTGCTCCTCGGCGCGCCGCCGAGAGGCATCGCTGGCAAGGCACTCTTGGTCTGCAGAGGGAAGGGGGGGGCTGGTCTTCCGTCGGGCCTGTCCCTCCACAGGGGGGAATATTCAAGCATAGTCCAGAAATAGTCATGGGGACGATGTTTCTAGTATGTTTTTGTTTCTGTTTGAGGATTCGCTGTCTCTCTCTCTACTTGTTCGCCCGAGATCCCCCGTGGTTTAGGGGGACACGCCCGACCTGAGGTTAGTCAGGGGCAGCGCCAGGGGCGAGGATCGCTTGACGCATCGGCCTCGAAACCGCCCAGTCATCGCCGACCCGGGCCCGAGAGCCCGCCCCTCCAGGGAGCGTGCGGAGGCGCCGTCAGGGGGCCCGTCTCGCCGAGCTGCGGGCACCGTACCGCTGGTGACAGCTCGACGGTGCCCCTCCTGCGCCTGTCCCCTCCTCCTCTTTCTCCTCCGGCCCTCCTCCTCCTCCTCTTTCTCCTCCTCCTCCTCCTCCACCCCTATCGCAGACATTCATTCGACGCCTTGATATCTCCATTCGGAGCCCCACAAATCCGGACACCTCCCCAGGGCTGGCCCTTAGTGGGCCCCGGCAGGGCCGTTTTGTCACCGTTTCCGAGAAAGCGTCCCTTGAGCATGAAAGCGGCAAAAGCACGGCGACCAGAAACGGCAACACAAATGGCTCCAGGATTGGAACCCGAGCGGGAAGCCGTAAAAGAAGGGCGACGGAACAGGTAACCAACAAAAACGGCAAAACGGAACCGGTAAAAAAAACGGCCTTAGGCCTTAGTCGGTTCCAGGGTCCATTGAGCCCCCCTAGTTAACGCTCCCCCTCAGCAGGGGGTGGGGGAGTGAAGGCCCGAATGGGGTAGAAGAGTGGCAGGACTCCCCCAGTGCAGTCGAGTGGGTGGCGTTCGGGGTCGGGCGCCGCTCCCCCCCCCCCCACCCACAAGCTTCCAAGAAGCTTCCGGAGGTCTCTCGGGAAGCCTGGGATGCTGCCCGGCTGCAGCTGGGGGGATCGGTGGAGGGCGTCCGCAGAAGGCATCGATGCACCACCAGCGTGCCTTGCCATGGCCACCCTGGGCATAGGACTTCCTGACCTCGGCCTTAGGGCGTATCCTCCTACGCTATGGCCCAGGGTGGCCCTGGCCATAGGGGTAGGGGAGAAGAGCGCTGGCTCAAGTCATGTAGGCGACGACCACGGCGATGTCGGCGACGGCGGCGACGGCCTCGACGACGACATCGGCGACGACAGCAATGGCGACGGCATCGACGACCACGAAGACAGCAACAGCGACGACCACGACACCGACGACGACAGCAACAGCGTGATCGACGATGACGACGACGTCGGAACGCTGGAGCAAACGATGCGGGAGCCCCCCTGCAGGGGCAGTTCGCAGCGCCCGCGCGCCACGAGAGCACCGCCCTGTACTACGAGATATTGGACTTGCCTTAGGGAGTGATGGAGGAGGACGAAGAGGAGGATCGAGCATGACGAGGAAGTGCAAACATCGAGGATCGAGGAGGAGGATCGAGGAGGGGGATCGAGGAGGATCGAGGATCGAGGATGACGAGGGGGAGGGGGAGGGGGAGGGGGAGGGGGAGGGTGAGGGGGAGGGGGAGGAGGAGGAGGAGGAGGAGGAGGAGGAGGAGGAGGAGGAGGAGGAGGAGGAGGAGGAGGAGAGGAGGAGGAGGAGGAGGAGGAGGAGGAGGAGGAGGAGGAGGAGGAGGAGGAGGAGGCGGAGGCGGAGGAGGAGGCAGAGGAGGAGGAGGAGGAGGAGGAGGAGGAGGAGGAGGAGGAGGAGGAGGAGGAGGAGGAGGAGGAGGAGGAGGAGGAG